GGGTGTTGTATGATCTGACTGAATGTTGGATTTTTACCTGAATTATTGAACATGAACTTTGGGATTTTGTTGTATGTTTTTTATGTTTGTGTGTGCGTGCGTGCGTGCGTGTGTGTGTGTGTATTCTAAAAAATAAAAAGACTTTGAAATTTCTTCTCCTGCCATCGAATGTGGTTGTTTTTGGGAGAATAACATAAGCAATAATCTGATGCATGCTCAATAATCCAGGTAGAAAAATCCAAAAAAGTTAAGTCTGGTCCTCTGGACCTGGTTTTGGTTGTCAGCAGCAAACTGGTTGATCCACTATGAGAAGGTGTTATTTAAAAGACTGAGCTGAGCACAGCTCTTCAGACTAAAGAAATCTTTTGGATGAAAGACGAAACGTTTCTACAATTTTTTTGTTTTATTTTTTGAATGTCCAGAGGACAGACTTAACTTTTTTGGATAAGCAATAATGTTTTTCTCCAACACATACAACATAGCTGGTCTCACCACTGTCTTGTTAACTTTTCCTTTGACCTTTGCTGACAGCCTTTTGTCGCAAATCACTCCTGAAACCTTTTCTCCATCCAATCCATCCTGCCTGGACTCTCTTTTTCACCTCTTTACCACACTCCCCATTTTCCTGGACAGTGGACCCAAGTACTTAAAGTCCTGAACCTTTGTGACCTCTGCTCCTTGTAGCCTCACTGTTCCACCAGCCTCCCTCTCATTCACACACATGTACTCTGTCTTACTAAGGCTGCCTTTCATTCCATACATGACCTGTATCAGTCTAAAATATCTTACTATCCTAATAAAACACCACAACTCCTCCCTGAGCACCTCGTCATATGTTTTTCTAAATCCACAAAGACAAAATTTAGTTATTTCTGACCCTCTCTGTACTTCTCCATCACCATCCTCAAAGCAAATATGTCATCTGTGGTTCTCTTCCTTGACACAAAATCATACTGCTGCTCACAAATAGTCACCTACATCAGTCACCAGACACAAACTTACAGTCTCCAATCTCAACTCGGGTTTCCTCTTATACATAGATTTAAAAAATCTATCTGCATATTCCTCCCTGCACTACTGTAAGTTACCTTATGTTCCTCCCTCTTTTAGAATTAATTGTTGACTACAGCCATTTCCATTCTAATGGAAAAATCCACCGCCATCTGTCCTTCCTGGTTTATTTCCTTGACACCAAACTTACCCATCACTTCCTCATCCCCTCTGTTTCCTTCACCAACATGTCCATTCAGGTCTGCTCTGATCACCTCTCTCTCCTCCCTGGGAATACTCTCTATCACTTCATCCAGATCCTTCAAAAATGTATCTTTCTCCTCCACATCACATCCAACCTGTGGAGCATAACTACTGACAACATTTAGCATCAGAACTTCTACTTCTACCTTCAGACACATCACCCTATCTGACACTCTCTTCACCTCTACTACATTCTTTGCCAACTCCTCCTTCAGGATCACCACTACTCCATTTCTCTTTCTATCCACACCATGGTAAAACAGTTTGAACCCTGCTCCAATGCTGTGAGCCTTGCTGTCCTTCCACTTGGTCTCTTGGACACATAAAACATCTACCTTCCTTCTCTGCATCATGTCAGCCAGCTCTCTACCTTTGCCTGTCATTGTCCCCACATTTAGAGTTGCCACCCTCAGTCCTACATTCTTCTTTCCTCTTCTCCCTCTGTCTCCTGACACGTTTCCCTCCTCGTGTTCTTCGACTAACAGTAGCACAATTTCTGCTGGCCCCTGTTTGTCAACAGCACCAGTGGAGGTCTTTGTTAACCCGGGCCTCGACTGATCCGTTATGGTGTTGTTTAGAAGCTCTTGCATGTTGGTTTTGGCAAAAGTGTTTTTGGTCAGATGCTCTTCTTGATAAAACTACTATTTAGCTGGACTTGGGACCAAAACTAAAGATACACTAGCTTGTGCTCCCTAGTAGCTAGCACCTTTTTTCACATTCTGAGCCAAAGATTGATCTGACCGAATCTGTCAGGAATCCCTAAAACATGTGATAACTCCTTTAAGAGTATTCCTTAACGTTAAAGTTATACAAGATTAAAAAAAACTATTGGTGAAAATGTCTGTTAGCAAAATATTTAATGAACAATTGAATTATAAAAAAATAGCTTTAACTCTGCTCTTTAAGACATATTGAGATAAAATTGGTGTTTGTAGCTAAGAGCAATTCCCAGTGCATACCAATCAAAAATTCAAGATGGTCACTAAAGCTAAATAGGGACAAAACAATACTGATGGCCGCTTGCTATTCACAGGGAGCTGAGTGATACTAGCAATAACAGCATTGTAAGAGGGGGACAGTTGAACATGGAGGCCTCCGCCCTGTTTAATGATGGATGAGTTCTCTTCACAAAGATGGGTCCTTCACTCCTCTCTCAAACCAGCGTTCGTTTCTATCAAGGATGTGAACATCTTACATTTATAATGATAATGTTATAATATTTAGTGTTTGCTTTGACTTGTTTCGGACCTCAGTTTAACCTTGTAACTTGGTGCAAAGTCATCCGTCAAGCTCCTGGTATTATTCCTTGAAACCAAGGATGCATTAACATACCATGGATGGTTTCTTCTGCACACAGTTTTCAGATACCTGTCATAACTGAAGTGAACTATTGTCAACTTGGGGTGTGACATTAGGTGAAACAAAGACAAGTTTAAAAAAAAAAAAAGATTTTCTATGCAAAGTGACTTTTTCTAAATGTGTTGTTACCATTGAGGAAGTTCTGGTTCTGTTTTTTTCCTGTATGTTATATGTGTAAATTAGTGTCAAATGCAAAATTTCTTCCTTTTATTTGCTGTTGTTGAATATAATCAGCTCATCTTTTGAAATATTCTTCCATATGTTCTTACTGCTTCTGTAATCAAGTCACGGATCCCCTTCAGGGAAAAACATGACGGGACAAAAAGAACAAACCAAACCGCAGCAGCTTTTAAACGTGATTTTGAAACGGTCTCTTTTTTTATTTTTAGGACTTATAAAAACAGCGCTTGCATAAGCCCTCGACTTCAGAAACAGACACGCTTCGCCTCCTCCCCAGCTTGTCAGGGCGGCTGCTGTTATTGAAAACACAGCGAGCAGTGAATGGCTGCAGTGGCTTCATCAAGAAGATGTTGACATTTTTTGTGGCAATCAACCATCAAACTGAGCGCGGCTGCATTCATGACCGGCCTTGTTGTCTGTCAGCACCGCAGCTCTTATCTCTCAAATGTTCTCTGTTTCTTTCACTTTGCTCTTCATGTTGTTCAGTCATGCAACTTTCTATTTGAGTTCCACACTCCTTTCTAAGCGTGTAGAAGGGCTTTGTGGTTAGTTATTCCTGAAAAGACCACCTTATTCTCAAATATGTAGTCTTCCATGGTGACAAGCTAAAATTAGATTACAATACAACAATAATACTTTTTGAGATTAACATTAGGTGAATGGGATTATTAGGGTACAATTTTATTTTGTAGCAGAACAATGTACCCACACAGACATTTCTGCCTTGCAGAGACTTGAAGCTGGGCAACATATTGATGGATGCAGAAGGTCACTATAAACTGGCCAACTTTGGGATGTGCAAGGAGGAAATCCTCAATGGAGTCATCACAACCACCTTCTGTGGGACACCAGATTACATTGCACCAGAGGTAAATTCCCCAAACACACCAGGAAAATACAAAATACATTATTTTACAGAAGATGTGTATAGTAATATCTATCTATTAAAGTGACAACATTCAGTCCTTTACAGACCAGTCACAGTTGAAGTTCCAAACACTTCAAGTAGTCCAGCCTGAAATTAAAAGAAAGAGCCTTTGTGCAGTCACAATTTTTTTCCAGGATTTTCTCAACCTGAATCCACACCTTTCTTTGGTAGAGTTTATGTGCCAAATAAATCTAGAAGATGGTTTGTAACTCAATCATCCAGGTAAATAAATCACAAAAAAGTCATGTCATCTGGACAGGTTTCCTTAAAGAAACTTGTCCAGATGACTTGATTTAACCTTTTTTGTGAACCCTAGAAGATGTGATGTTGAGGGCAATTGCACCAGGGCGGGGTGTCCAAAATTAGACTGGTTCTAGGTGACAGGCCAGACAAAAAGCAAAAACACTAGTATGGGCAGGAAAAAATAGTTTGATCTCCCTTGCCACACATGCCCCAAGACTCCACATTAGAGCCAGGCTTTGGGGAGGGGCTTTTTCAATGAGTGCATCTACCCCTGGGGTCTGGTCAGCTCAGCTCAAATGAACTACATGGGTTCACCTTCCAGTGGGCCCACCAACTGGAGGAGGTGCTATATGTATTGGTAGCTGAATGCAGGATCCTTAGTGCTTTGACCCAACCTTAACAAATCTGGTTTTTGGAACATGGAATGTCACCTCTCTGGTGGATAAGGAGCATGAGTTTGTGTGTGAGGCTGAAGTACTGACTACATATAGTTAGGCTCACCTTCAAACACAACATGGGTTTTGGAATCAATCTCCTTGAGAGAGAGGCTGGACCATATTCCACTCTGTTTATGTCCATGTTGAGTGGCACCAGTCTGGTGTGGGTCTACTTATAATCAATTCAATTCAATTCTAAAATACTTTATTAATCCCAGAGGGAAATTAAATGTTGTTGTAACTCATCATCCTGGTTTAATTAAGGAGTTGTTATAGATGCTGATGGCTGTGGGCAGGAAGGATCTCTTGTAGCGTCTGTCCTACAACGGATCTGAAGAAGCCTCTGACTGAAGACACTTAGCTATAGCACCCCGGCTTGGTGTTTCTTGGTTGAAGTACAGAAGAGAGGGTAACTTTCCTGTGCCTTTGTGTCTGTAGATGGACTCTGACTATTGTTTATGCCTATGCACCAATGGCAGTTCAGAGTACCCAGTCTTCTTGGAATCCTTAGCAAGAATGCTGTAAAGTGTTTCAGCTGGAAAATTAATAATTTAGCTAGGAGGCATCAATGACCATGTGGATATGACAATGTTGTGTTGGATTTCTATAATATTCAAGGTTCTTCTTTAAAATGTACCAAACTCAAACACAAGTGTGTCTATAAATGAATAGAAGCACAGGACAATCCCACCAGCTTGTCTTCAATGGAGGAAGCTGAGTACGTGGACATTAGGGTGGGTCTACCGTTAACCAGGGCTGACATCACGAGGTAGTTTAAAAGCTCCATAGCGGAAGGGCTCTGGAGATGGACAAGATTGATCTAGAGTTTCTTAGAAATCTAGATGTTGGTGAGCTGTCTTGGTTGACATGTCTTTGCAACATCTCATGGACATTGGGCAGAGTACCACTAGGTTGGCAGACTGAGGTGGTGTTTCCCTCTTTAAGGGGAAACAGAGGGTCAGTTTCTATAACAGGTAAATCACACTCCTCAGCCTCCTTGGTAAGGTCTATTTAGGGGTGCTGGAGAGGAGAGTCTGGTCTATGGTTAAACAGCTAATTCAAGAGTTAAAAAGTGGGTTTTGTTCTTGCCATGAAATAATGGATTACCTTTTTACCTTCAATGGTGTCTGTGACAGAGCATGGGACTTTGCCAAGGCAGTCTGCATGTGGGGTATTTTTTTACTTGGATAAGGCATTTGTTCTCCTGATTATAATGTGGGGGTGCCCTGTGAGTATAGGATTTGGGGTCTGGTGCTATGGGACATATGGTCCCTTTGCAAATAGTGTGAGAATCTGGTTTGCATTGCCAGCAGTAAATCAGACCTCTTCAGGGTGACAGTACGACTCAGTCAGTGCTTCCTGTTGTCACCGACTCTGTTCATAACTTTTATGTACAAAATTTCTCAGTCCAGCCAAAGGGCGAAAGGGGTCCAGTTCAGTGGCCTCAGAATTTTGTCTCTGATATTTGCAAAACCTAAGGCCATGATCAGAAAGGGAAGCACTGCCCTTTCTGGGTTGGAAGTGAGGAGCTGCCTCAAATGGAGGTGTCTGAGTATCTTGGGGTTTTGTTTGTGAATGAGGGAAGAATGGAGCTTGAGATCAACAAATGAATCAATACAGTATCTACAGTACTACATACTTTGTACTGATCCATTGTGGTAAAGCATGAGCTGAGCTTGTGTTACAATGTTATATTGTAAACAAGGAAGGTAAAACAAATTATCAGATTAAATTGAATTAAAACAAGTTAGACTGTTTCATAATCTTAAAGTTTGTTAGGACCTTCACTGAATACCTTGAAGGTCCTGATATTTCCCAGTATTTTCTCAACAGGAGAAAGAAGGTTTTTGTTTAAGAGACTGTAAGGACAGGTTTAATACTGTAGAAACTTTTTTGTGTGTGTTTTTGATTCTCATTATTAGATCCTTCAAGAGCTGGACTACAGTCCATCAATGGACTGGTGGGCTCTGGGGGTGCTGATGTATGAGATGATGGCAGGACAGCCACCATTTGAAGCTGATAATGAAGACGACCTCTTTGAATGATGATGTCCTCTATCCAGGGCCAGATTAACACTTCGTTGTACCCTGGGCAACAATCTTCAAGGGGCCCATCATCACGACACCCGAATCACCATAATCTGGCAAAATACAGAATAAATTACCATAATATACAGTAAATATACTTCAAATTCTAACTATCAAGTGTATTTTTATGTATAAAACTCCAAATGCTCACTGACACAAATCATCAAGACTGAATTAAGTTGAACACACTTTGAACCCCCTCCCACACTACGTGTACTTGTTTAGTAACGTGTTGGCCACTGGTGTCAGAAGCATTTATAATGTGTGTGTGGGGGGACACACTGATGGGGGGGTCTGGGTTCTCCCCCAGAAATTTTTGAATAAAGTAGATGCCATTTCCTGCATTCTGGTGTATTTTAATGGTTGTTTAACATCTAGTTTTACCTACACAAGTAAACACTTGGAACACCTTGGGATTCCCCTGGAGGAGCTGGTCCAAGTGGCTGGAGAGAGGGAAGTCTGGACCTCCCTACTTAGACTGCTACTCCCATGGATGGATGGAAGTAAACACTTGATTCAATAACTATTTTAGAGCTAATGGCCAACAAGAAGTAACCTGACCAACAGCTGACTCAATTAATTTAAAATATTATATATTCAAAGGTGATGATTTGATGCCCAAATTAAAATTAAATGCTGTAACTTAGTTGACTTCAAATGTAATAAGATTATCAATGAATGTTTGCGACAAAGGATTTACTGAGTTTAACAAAGATTCCTTCAAGAAACCTCCTAATATAAATCATAAAATCATAATGATTTCTGCTCATTCTGAATTTGTCAAATGGTCTAAATCTCCTGAAGTGAAGGAGAATGATTTTAAATATTAAATAAGATATATGCTGTAGCCATGTTTCTGCAAAGATAATTTAAATGTGATGATGATTTGTGTGTCTTCTGTAAATCAGAAGATGAATCCCTCGAGTATTTTTTTTTATGTCAATACAAAGTGTTTGTTCAGACATCAGAAACTGGATTAATCTCAAACTTAACATTTCTTCTTTTCATGCTGATGACATTTTACTTTATGTGGATAACTTAAACTCAGCTTTCTCTGATGCCATAAATATAGTTGTACTTATAGCAAAGTACCACATTCACTGTAGTAAGAGGAGAGATAATAAGTCCTCCTTCCTGTTTTATGAACGATTTTAAGTCGTACTATTCTTCATTAAGTAGATTAAAAATCTGCAAAACTGATAGAATCATTTCACAACAGATACAAACTTATTGTTTTAATTAAAACAATGTTTCTCAAGAAAAAAAAAGCTGATGAGCTTGTCAGCAGGTAAGGGGCGTTTATCTTCGGGACAAATTGAGGTCGTCGATTGGTCAGTTTCTGACACGCCTTCTGAGTTGATTGACAGGTCGCACCGTCGAGGATCCGATTGAAAAAAACAACCCGAGAGCTGCAGCAGCCGCGCTGGGAGGAGGCGGGCTGCACAAATTCAGTGGAAGCGCAGCAGTGTCTGTGCAGCGCAGGGCTCCAAGTAAAGCAGGAGATAACCAGATGTTCTGCTTGTGCCGTCACTGCCCTGGGCCCCTTAGAGATCATGGGCCCCTGGGCAGTTGCCCAGTTGCCCATATGGTTAATCCGGCCTAGCCTCTATCCAGAATGGCTCAGCAAGGAAGCCATGTCCATTCTGAGAGGGGTCAGTTAGTAGAATATGATTTTTGTTCTTCATGCTTAAGGAACTCATATAAATAATGAAGACTAGGCTTAAGACTTTCCTTTTTGCTAAATCCTATTGTTAGGGTCGGCTTGGGTTTCCTGAGCTGTCCCTTAGTTATGCTGCTATAGGCTTTGACTGCTGGAGGACAAACTGACCACAATTTTCACTCTGCTACTGTCTTTACTTACGCTGCTCAACCTGTTTTGTATTTGTATTTTTTTCTATCCTGACATGCGTTTTTGTCTTTCAGGTACACCTGGACCTATACCTGGACCTTCCATTCTGTGTCCGTCTGTCTCTCCTTCCTGTCCTCTCAAACCAGCCGGTCAAAGCAGATGGCCGCTTGTCCTGAGCCTGGTTCTGCTGGAGGTTTCTTCCTTTTAAAAGGGAGTTTTTTTCTTTCCACTGTTGCCACTGTGCTTGCTCAGGATGGGAGACTGCAACAAAGTGAAGATTCAACTTGTCTGCTGCTTCCTTAGATAGAGAACTTTACTAATTGGCTTTTCTATGTATGTGAATGTTTCTGTTCAATGCCCTGAGACAACTTTGTTGTGATTTGGTGCTATATAAATAAACTGAATTGAATTAAATCCACAAGGCTTCCTTGTGTGTTCTTTGCTCAAGATATTTCAGAATCTGTTCCTTTGTTTTGTATCTGCTCGTTACATTCTGATGTTTCAAGATTACAAAATCAGTATTTTGCTTGTCTGGCCCATAACTTTCGACCCACTTAAAGTAGTCAAAGCAGATGGTCGCTCGTCCTGAGCCTGGTTCTGCTGGAGGTTTCTTCCTGTTAAAAGGGAGTTTTCCTTTCCACTGTCTCCTTTGTGTTTGTTCAGAATGGGAGACTGTGACGAAGTGAAGGTTCAACACAATCCGTTGGTTTCCTTGGATAGATAACTTTTATTTACTAAGTGGTTTTTATGTATGTGAATGTTTCTGTTCAGTGCCCTGAGACAACCTCTGTTGTGACTTGTTGCTTTATAAATAAACTGAACTGAATTGAATTAAAATAATTTAACAAAACTCCACACATAAAATACATCATCACTAGATCGAGTGTTGCATGCACTTTTCATCACCCCAGCTCCAAGGTCAAGGTCCCCAATCAAGGTCAAAGTTTAAACTAGGTCTTTGCTTGTCTGAACCATTTCTACAGATTGTTGTATTGTTGTATTGTAGTTTGTTGACGAGCGTATAATATCGTAATGGTATGCAGTCCTTGTGTTTCTTTCAGCCTCCAAATTTTTATCACTCACTGCCAAAAGACAAAAGACAGTAAATAATGTTTTTGCTTCTATGTGTGTTTGTCTCTCGTGTGATTAAAATAAATGAACTACTGGACAGATTTTAATGAAGCACAGTCAAATTTATTTACACTTATTTTGAAAATTCAACAATTGTCTGTTCCTGTGCATATAAACTGATAACCAGGTAGGAAATAAAGGTGCAACCTCTGTTCTCTGTAGCCCACAATTCAGCTTATTGTTTTAGACAAGAATGTACTTCTTTATATAATTTAGTTGCCTTTCATCCTCAAAGCATAATTTAAGAACTATATTTTTAGAATGCAAAATGTTTGTCTAAGACATCGACACTTACTGTTGGAATCTACTCTGATTTTATGTTGGCAAAATATTTATTGAACCGCTGGAGATATTTTCTTGAAACGTTCAGCTGTCACTGGATGTACCTCTATAACATGTTGGGTTTTGACTTTAGTCTTATTTACCATGACTGCCACATCTAATCAACCGTAACCAACACAGACATGACTATAACTCAGTCAAAATTACTGATGCTGAGTTGACATTTGGTGTGGTAGTAGGCTGAGAGTGATTAACATCACATACTCTGAGTGCTACTAGATCTCGCTGCATCTTATATCACATGAGATTGAATAATATTATTGTCAAGATTTGACCAGAATTGCTACAACTCCAACATTTTCAAAATGTGATGTTAGTCTTAAGCAGCAGACTAAGCATCATCATATTTTCCTCTGTACGCGTCGCACTGCCCTATAAGTCACATCAGTCTAAATGTGTCTAATAAAGTCGAATAAACCAATAAATATGTTGTTTCGCCATATACGTCACATCTATTAAGCGTCACCGCTGACGCATCGCGTTTGTTACACATCACTGCTGACAACCCAGAAACGTGGGCCGAACCTGGAAATGTGTGCCGGTGTTGTGCCAAAAATCAATGGGCTGACAAATGGTAGCTGTGGGAGCGTGCACGGGAGGACTTTAATGAGAATTTAACAAGACAACCACCTAAAAACAATTGTTTGTTTGTTCAAAAATTAAAGCAAAGGTGTGTCTTAGTCTAACGTTTCCTTAATAAATGCATTTTGATGGTCAAATCAGCTGCATTTCAAAAGCCGATACGCTGAAACATGAATGCGCAGAGGGACAAATCACTGTCCATTTATTCAAAATTTAACAAGATAACCACCTAAAACAATTATTTGTTTGCTCAACTTCATAGTAAAGGTGTGTCTCAGTTGAACTTTTACTTAATAAATGTACTTTGATGGTCAAAACAGCTGCATTTTGCCGGTGCGGCGCAGCGAAATGAAGCTGATTTGGTTGCTCGAGGCAGACGACGGTGGCCATCTGTGGCAAGCCGATGGTGTCATTAATAGCCACTTTCACCTATTACATGATACAATGGCATGCCTTTCTACTCGACTGCCATCTAGTGGCTGAAAATGGCAGTTTTCAATGTTTTCAGTCAGAATGAATGAAAACTGTCATATCTCAGCCAAAAATTTGGTTTATAAATATGGAAAAAAAAATCCATAAATATGTCGCTTTGGCCTATAAATCACAGGATATGTAAATTATGCAAAAAAAAACGCAACTTATACAGCGAAAAATACAGTACTTCAAAAACTGTGATGCCTTTTCTCTTTTTTAAAGTTTTTGCATGACGAAACTGTAAATATTGTTATTTTATTACAACACACTCATTCTGCATCTAATTTTGTCACAAGGAAGCACCTTTTTTCTCCCAATCTTTGATCGAACTGTTTCCTGTTCTTCAAATGGAACATTATTCATGTTCCTTTTATCTCTGTGTATAATTAATAGTGCATTTTGTTGTGTGTGTGTGTGTATTAGCTTATTTTATTTATTTTAGTGTATTTGTTCTGAGTTTCCATCACAAGTTCACGTTTACCTTGGCTGGTGATGCAGTTTGGCTGCAAAGCCTTGTGGGAAAGTGTGTGTTTATGTTGGAAAGTGTCTTAACCGGAAATCTGGACTCTGGACTCAGTTG